GTATTTTTCTATGTAAAAATATGTCATGACTTTTCCAACAACACTTTTTTTTTGTTTTCTCTGTAAGAGAGCATGCACTCTCCAGAGAGAGGAAGAGAGAAATCACTCCCTACATTCTGCGTGGTGGAAGGTCATGCTGCAATCCCTTCTCCTCTACTCTTCTCTTGGGCTTTTGGGTGCTCACATGAGCCCTGTATGATTTTCAAGCTGCTGGGTCTGGGACTTGAACCGTGCTCAGCCATGTGGGAGTCCAGTGCCTTAATCACCATACCACCTGCTGGCCTCTGAGTATTCTTTTTAAATCACTTTTAATCTCTGCTTATTTTTCGGCTTCTTGATAAATCAGGTTTTGTCCTCGGTTCGGTGAGATTCAAAGCTGGTCTCTTACTTATCTCTTCTCCACTTATCTTTCCTCCTAGTTCTCTGACTTCCTGTTAGGCGTGTGTGCGGCTGAGGTAGGAGGCCTCTAATAATTTCCAAAACGGTGTCTTCTTGACTAAGTTTTTCTTTTGTCTGCTTTTGTTCCTATATTAGCTTTCTATGTCACAAACTTGGCAGCTTAACATAAAACCTTTTATTATCTCACGGTTTATTGGGTCAGAATTACCTGGGTTTTCTGACCATGTTCTCAGACTGCAGACGAGCTATCAGCCAAGACCGGGGATTCCTCTGAGCTTGAGCTCCTCCTCCCAGCTCACGTGGTTGTTTCTTTAAGGACGCTTGGCCCTCATCTGTCAGCCTCTCTTATGTCCTATGTCACAAGCACAGTGCTTCGGTTACCGTCACCTTATAGTGAATTTGGAGACTGGGAAGCGTGAGTCCTCTACCTTCTCTGAGGTTGTATGGGATGGTCTGGGTCCTTTGCACTTCCGGGGGAGGTGGTCTTGGAAGTAGGACTCTTTCTAGAGTCTCCTTTACAGGACTCATTTGTTTAGGTCTGATCCACTCGAGGAAATCTTCCTGTATAGTATGTCAAATTTACTGATGAGGGACCTCAATTACATCTATAAAATACCTATACCTTTGACATATAGCCTAACCTAATCACAGGAATGAAATCCCATCATGTTCACATGCCCCACCCACGATCCATGCAATGGTACAAGCTGTGTATCCCAGAAGGCTTATCGTGGGTGGGTCCTCTTAGAATTCTGACTGCTATAACTCTTACAACTTTGTTTTTCTCTTATGTTGTATCTTGCCATACAGTAATATGGATGCTCTAATTTTGTTTACTTCATATTTGCATAAGTATTTTTCTAGACTTTTATCTTTTCTGTGTGTTTTTATTTTATTTTAGTTTTTAGTATGTCTTTTGCAGCCACCACACTGTAGGGCTTTTAAAAAATCCAATCTGTGTGGCCCAGCATAGGGTGCAGGTGGCAGGGACTGCAGTGACTCCTGGGCCTACCTGAACATGCTGGGAGCACCTTTGATCCTGGCTGGCAGTCCCAGGGAAGCACCCTGATGGGTTTCACTCTGTCTCTCTCACTCACTCTGAATACATAGGTAAATGCATAAATGAACTTGAAGGAATCCAATCCATGAGTCTGAATATTCTATTTATTGAGTTACTTTTCTTAACTGCTACATTGAGTGCCTTCTCTGCCATGTCAGTACTTTCCATCTGCTGCACAGTCTCACTGTAATCTTTCTAGAATGCTCTCAGTAGAGGAGCTGAAGTTTCTTCCACGGGCTCTGAGCTATTTTTGACCTGTGGTTCTTGCTCACTTAACTCACAGCCATTTCCCTGCTCACTTACCCTTGTGGCTTCTAGTTCCCGATAGGGTGGTGCGCTCCCTCCTGGAACTGGTGCTACAGAGACGGGAGAAACAACAGGGACTCATAAACTCCAGAAACCAGCAAATTGGAAAAAAATGAAAAAACAATGTGAGACTTTGAAGTGAGTGGAGACTGCAGGTTTGCTTTTACTCAGAAGCGATCCTTATTTATCTTCCCACCATAGATGTTATCAGACTGCAGCTGCTAGGGCCTCAGGTAAGAAGAGGGCAGTGGAAAAGAGAGAAAGTTGATAAAAACCAGTGGGTCAAGGGTCTGTGTCAATACCTCACCCCCAATCTCCTGTCATGTGGTGTGATGGACGTCGAGGAAGGATGAGTGTATGTAGCATGCAGGGCTCTGTGGGTGTAAGTGGGGATCTCACAATGGGGAAATGGATCATCCTAGATTACCCGGGCAGGCCCAATGTAACCAGAAAGGTCCTTATAAAAGGGAAGCAGGAAAGGCAGAAGTAAAAAGTGAAATATGATGATTAAAGTAGCAGAGAGAAGTAGATGAGGAAGTGGGGACCAGCAGTTGGCGTAATGGCTATGTCGCTATGTAGTCGACTGTGGTTTGAGTCCCGGATGTGGTGGCTTAAATTCATGCCAGGCACATGTGCATGTGTGCCCAAGATCCCAGGAGAATGGAGGAGAAGGAATTGTGGCATGGCCATCCACCCTGGGGGGGGATTTTTCGCTGTCTCTCTGTCTCTCTCTGTCTTTCTGGCGAGCTCACGCACCCTATGGCAAAAACCTCTCCAAAAAAAAAGAAGAAGATGAGAAGGCTTCAAAAAAGTTCATGGTAAAATGGAATTAAAGTATGAATTGATTTTCATACAAAAAAATTGAAATCTATCCATAGTTTTTTTATGGCATGCATTTCCCATGAACATTTTGAAGGTCCCCCATATGTAGACAACCGCAAGAGGAGATTTACTATAGAATTGGTTCACATAAGATTTTGGAGGAGGCTGAGATGTCCCGAGATCTCCTGTATGCAGGTGGGAGAAGGAATGCCAGGGATGTGATTTGGTATAAGTTGGAAGAAGTGAAAACCAGGACAGTGGCTGGTTAAATTCTGAGTGTGAAGACCCGGGAACCAAGAGCTCTGATGCCTGAGGGCAAGGGAAGATGAACCTCTCAGCTCAAACAGCGAATTCACCCTTCCTCCAGGTGATGGGTCTGTCTGGCCCACAGTGGATGGAATAGCACTCGCCCACAGTGGTGAGAGCAGACATTTTTTACTCAGGCTGCTGATTTAAATTCTATTCTCTTCTGGAAATACCCTCACGGACATACCAAGAAATGAAGCTTTTACCAGCTATCTGGGCACCCTTTAGCTCAGTCAAGTTAACCCATAAAATTAACCTCACAGGGACCATGAACAAGGAGTTTAGACAACCTCTAGAAACTAGAAAAGGCAAGGGAACACATTTAACTTGAGAGCTTTCAGAAGAAATGTAGTCTTGCTCATACCTTATTTCAGCCCAGTGAAAGCCATTCTGGATGTCTGACACCCAGGGCTATAGGAAGATAGATTTATGGTGTTTGAAGCCACTGAATTGGTGACAATTTATCAGAACATCGATAAATAACGAATGCAGGTAGATTACAGTGTTGGGAAACGGCCTCCTCCCAATGTCCCTCTACCAGAGTTTGAAGGTGAATTTCTTGCTAGAAGCATTGTTTAGGGGAATGGCAGCAAAGGGCAGGAGTGACAAGGGCTTGAGGGTATCTGGGGCTTCATACTGTGGGATTCACCACCTTCTCCTTCCTGAAAGTCACCCAAGTATAGCCTTCATCTCTCTTGAATTCCAGACAGAGCAGCTAATACATTGCAGGGAACCACGACCTTACTGTTTGAAACAACGGAATACTTGAGGATGAGTAAATACAGCTATTAGGCTGAACCACAAGACATCACTATTTCTGTAGATCAATATCAACCAAATACTGGCAATTCTCTATGGTTCAAGTTAACACTCAGTAGGCAGGGCAAACTGTGGCCAGTTTTTGTAAGCGTTTTCACTGGAACAGAGTCGTTTGTGTATTTATGTGTTTCCTCTGCTTGCTCTCTTGCCGCGACGAGATAACTGAGTAATTATAACAGAGAGCACATGTCTGCAAAGCATCAAGCATTTTGGTCTTCCCCATTATGTAAAATATTTGCCTATCCCTTCTGTACAATGTCCCACCTTGCCATAAGACATGTGTGGTTGACTGAGACAAAGACAGAGAGAGGGAAAGTGAGAAATCACTCCTGGGGGGTTGGCCATGCTGCAATCCCCTCTCCTCCATTCTCCTCTCAGGATTTTGGGCATGCATGCCCATGCACCTGGCTTGATTTTCAAGCTGCAAGGTCTGGGACTCGAACCACAGAATTAGCCATGTTATTAGGCTGAACCACAAGACATCACTATTTCTGTAGATCAATATCAACCAAATACTGGCAATTCTCTATGGTTCAAGTTAACACTCAGTAGGCAGGGCAAACTGTGGCCAGTTTTTGTAAGCGTTTTCACTGGAACAGAGTCGTTTGTGTATTTATGTGTTTCCTCTGCTTGCTCTCTTGCCGCGACGAGATAACTGAGTAATTATAACAGAGAGCACATGTCTGCAAAGCATCAAGCATTTTGGTCTTCCCCATTATGTAAAATATTTGCCTATCCCTTCTGTACAATGTCCCACCTTGCCATAAGACATGTGTGGTTGACTGAGACAAAGACAGAGAGAGGGAAAGTGAGAAATCACTCCTGGGGGGTTGGCCATGCTGCAATCCCCTCTCCTCCATTCTCCTCTCAGGATTTTGGGCATGCATGCCCATGCACCTGGCTTGATTTTCAAGCTGCAAGGTCTGGGACTCGAACCACAGAATTAGCCATGTGGAATCCAGCTGCCTTAACCACCAAGCCACTTTCTAGCCCTGCCTCTTCCTTATAAAGCCCAAGTCTGAGCATTGGGGTGGGCTTTATGGCTCTCGCCCTAGTAGGACAGAGGAGGGGTTGCTGTTGACCCAACTAGGTGGAGGCCAGAGGCCAGGCCTTCACACAGCCAGGCTCACAGCAGGAAACCCCGAGGGCCCTCCCTCCGAGGGTGGAGCAGGAGGCCCTGGATTGCTGTCTGTGGCTCCAGGACAGTCACTTGGACCAGAGGCCAGCACGGGGCAGTGCCTTCGCTGAGGCAGGGTCACAGGGGCTGGATTACATCACAAAGTGTGGCCTCCCACAGGGCTGGTACTCACAGCTGAAGACAGACTGGGGATCAGGACTGACAGAGCTCCTGGTTAGGCATGGCATGAACTGAGAGTGCTGGAACCCGGGAGCCAGCCTGCGGGAGGTCAGAGCACTGCTCCACAGTGGAGAGGACAGAGCCTGGGGGAGCAGTGGACAGGCTACAGGATCCAGGGCAGGAAGCATTGGGGCAGCCACATCTCACACAGTCACGCCTCTGGACCAGACGCAGAGAGCAGAGGTGACAGGCACTGGGTAGTTGTAGACACTTCTGGTCTCAGTGGAGTTCTCCCTCGAACCACATTGTACCAGGATATGAGGGAGGCAGGGGGACTGAGAGTGGAGACTCCCTAAGTGGTGTCCCGTGGAGGGGGCTCCTTGAAGGAGGAGAGGGTGATCAAGAAGACCGTCTCAAATCCATCTGGGCCGCTGAGGAGACAGGACAGCTGCTGCAGAGAGATCTTTAACCCAGAGCAGTGACAGCAGCCATCCACCCCCCGACCCACCCTCCCTGCAGCTCTGGCCCTGAGAGCAACAGGAGGGACCTCACCTGCCCCTTCGGTGAGGGACCATGACTAGGTCCTGGTGGCTCTCCCTGCTCCCTCTCGCCATTCCGGTGATCCTGGTGGCCGCCAGCACAGACCCAGACAAGAATGAGGTGAAGCTGCTGAGGAGTCCAAAGGCCGTCAGCACCTCCAACGCCAACGTGAGGCAGTGTCTGTGGTTCGCCATGGAAGAGTACAACAAGGAGAGCGGGGACAAGTATATCTTCCTGGTGGCCCACACACGGCAAGCCCAGCTGCAGGTAAATCGCCCTCTCTGGATAGCGGGACCCTGGCCTACAATGGACCGAGAGAGTGGGCATGTGAGAACACACCAACAGACAGAAAGCCCCGCTCTGATGGGGGGCATGAGCCTTCACGCGGTGGCGATCAGAGCCCGGGGGCAGAGGCTTTGCCGGGACATCGGGGGCTTTGCTCGGTACTTTGCACGCACCGACACGGTTACACCACCCGTCATGCCCACGTATTAGCTGTGGCTGGAGAGAAATGGAGCACCGCGAGATGTTTTGCAGTAATGCCATCCCAGGCCGTGTTCAGGCCTCGCTGTGCTGTGGGTTGGAGGGGGCGTGTGCTGTATAGGCGAATCGGAGCATTGCTTGGGGGATTCCAATGGACCTGGGGTTCCCGGAGTTCATGGCATGTGGGAGGGGGTCCTGCTTGTCCATTCAGTGAAAGGCCCTCAGAGTTTGAATAAGCTGATTGTGGATACTGGCCGCGGTCAGCTGGTTGGCGGCCTGGCCTATATCACTCCATGAAGCTTTAACCGGCTGTACAGCTACTGAACAGACAGGTCACTGTGGCTGGAACCTGTGTCCCCACCCCTTGGGAGCATGTGAGCCGTTAGCCCCATATCTCCAGCTCGGTTTGCTGTTTACGGAGCACCCTGTACAGACTGAGTACTTCCACAACCCCGAAGGCTCCTCCTGTGGCCCTTTGAAATAAAGGACCAGACCCCATGTCCTGCAGCTTTCCCGCCTCCTTCGTGCTTACTGTCTTAGGTACCCAGGGCAGCGGGTGCACCCGGTCAGTTCCCCAGAGGACACTCCTTCCATTTGCTGCAGATGGGGCAGTGAAGTGGCCCTTTGGGAGCCCACAGTCTGGTCTCCAAGAAAAGCTGTCAGTAGGAATTCAAGTTGTGAGGTCCGTTCTGCTGGCAGGGAACACGGGGTTCAGGCATCAGGAGAGAGTTCCTTCGAGAGTATTTCTCACCTTGGGTGCTTGTAAATGTCCCACGGCACAGGGCACACCCTCGCTGATTAAACGAGGCTCTCCGGGTGGGACCCAGATCTCGGTAGATGTGGAGAGCCTCAGTCAGGCTGAGAACTGCTACTCCAGGCAGTGAGGCCGGAGGTGAGACCTGGAGGCAGAGAAGGTGTGAAACGGGCAGGAGTGTTAGTGTGGCTTTCTCAGCTGCAGACACTCATGCAGGGATCTGAGTGCAAGTGGCTTATTGGGGGGACACGCTGGGACACACCAGGAGGGTAAAGGAGAAGGGAGACAGTTCAGGGAAGGTGGTCAGTGAAGGGTGAGTTCATGGCGGGGAGCTCCATGGACCTTGGGGTCTCTGGGAGAAGTACAGAGCCCACCTCAGAGTCAGACCCACAGGTGAGGGAGCTGGTCGTTTATCCACCACCTTCCCTACCATCGTCTAAGAGCTGCTCTGGGTGCCCCTGGCTCCTGCTGGCAGCAGGAACCCCAGGGAAGGGCCCCAGCAGCATGTCCAGGAACAGAAGAGTGTGGATACCGCTCTCAGAGTCTGCCACAGAAGGGGAGCAGGAGGCCTGGGGAGAGTGTGTTCCAGAATGCCGTCTGGAGCTGCCAGTGGGAAGAGCTTGGCTTGTGTAAGCCTCTCTAAAAGCTAGTGTGGTTGGCGAGAGGTGGGCAGGGGCCGGGCCCTACTGGGCTTTGCAAGCTGTGGTCAAGGGTTGTGCTTTATCTGAGGATGACGGGAAAGCTGCCACAGCGTTAAGTTAGGGAGTCCCGAGGAGTCATGTAATGAAATCTCGGCGTTAAAGCTATCTCTCTGGCTCGCTTGGTTTGGAAAGGGGTGGTGAAGGTACAGAGAATGTCCAGCTGGCAGGATGGCCCCCAGTCCCGTGGGGCTGAGGCGCACGTCTCCCTGTAACTGACACCGACCAGGAGCCTTGCCTTCTCTCGGCCGGGTTAGCAGAGGCAGCAGAAATGCGAGAGGCAGAGTGCGTGGCTAGGGGCGCACATGGCAGGGCTGGGCCGCCTCGGTTTGAACTCCGTGTCGGTTGTTGGCTAGATACACAGTTACTTTGTCTGTGCCTCGGTTTCCTTACGGGAAGAAAATGGCAGCCTTCCTTGATAACTGGTGTGAGGGTCCACTGAGCCGTTGGGTGCCTGGCCCGGAGGCAGGAGCCTGGAGCAGGGTCAGCGCTGGGCGCACGTCTGCGGGGACCACTACTAGCAGGAACCTTGCCGACGGCCGCAGCATCTTCGAGGAACCGAACTGACTCCCGCACCCAGCAGGTCACTCTGCAGGCCACTTCTTGATACCGTCTCGCCAGCTTCCCCCCCTAAGGATGCCTTTGCTAAGTCCTGGGAGCACAGCGAACATCTAAGGCAGCTTTGCTGTGACCTGAGGACCAACGAGGAAAGGTTTGAGAAAGAAAGGAGAGTCACCCTTTCCTCTCCAGTTGTTGCCCTGAGGAAAGCAGAGTTTTACATTTTTCTTAGAACTATTTATTTATTTATTTATTTATTATTTTAAAATTTGACTAGAGAGAGAAAAAGAGGATGTGAGAAAGCAAGCCTCCAGGTCTGGGACTTGAACCACTGTTTACCACGTGGGAGTAAGAGTCTAGCACCTTAACTACCATGCCTCCTGCTAGCCCCTGGAGTTTTACATGTTTTTAAAGTTTGTATTTTCTGCAAGAGATAGAGGGCGTGTCACAGATGTGTGTGCCACCATGCACAGGAAGGCCCTGACAGGAGTGGGGCCTGCTCTGGCTGCAGGGTTGCAGTGCGCTGTGTGCTGGCCACACCACTTTCTGGTCCCTGAAGGCAGGTTTCAAGTTAGTCACCAGTGAACTCAGGCAATCCTAAAGTCTGGCTATAAACCAGCTGCTGCTCTGTCCACTGAAAACTTGGCAGAGGCTGAGACAAACTCGCAATGCGTGGTCCCTAAAGGACCGGGTGGGGAGTGGGTAAGAGGGTCCCTGAGTGGGAAGCCCCATGGTGGGAGATCTCACAGGGGTCTGCAGTGTGTGTAGAAGGGCGCAGGGCCAGGATCCAGTGTATCTGGGGGCGCTGTGCTCCCAGCAGGCCCCTGTGAACCCTGTCATCAGGCTTGGGAGAACTGGCGGTTCTGGAGACACTGCCCTTCTCCCCAACACTGAGCAGGTGACACGTCCTGGACTTGGGGACGAAAATAGAACTAGAAGGTTTTGGCTTCTTGGAAGCCCCAAAGTGGAAGGAGCTTTTCCCCAAGGGTCCAGCTCCAGGTGGCTGTCGGGTCCTGACAGGTCTCAGTGCGGGAAGAGCCAGGAAGTGGGCGGGTTTTCCTCTAAGGATATGTCTAGCGGGTTGGGGGAGGGAGAAGTGGGGCGAGGACAGAGTGAGAGTGATTTCTGTGCTTGCTAAAACTTTAAAAAAATACATTAAACTTTTTGGAATAAAATTGCACCATCCTAATCGACAGATCACGAATCGTTTGGAATACCTCATTGATGTCGAAATTGCCCGCAGCAACTGCAGAAAGCCTTTGAGCAATAATGAAAACTGTAACATTCAAGAAAACACCAAACTGGAGAAGGTAGGTGCCTGAACAGCGTCGGGGGCTCTGAGCCCCCTCTGCCAGGCCTAAGGGTGATCAGAAACACTCGGGGGTGCCCAGAGCCCCTCTTGTCTGAACTGCTCCCAAGTTCAGCGCCTCGTGGCCATCCCTGTGACTTTTAGAGCAGATGCAAGGCCACAGGGTATGTGGAACCCTTGGGGCCTTTCTCCACCCTAGTCCTAGGGGCAGGAGATTGTCAAGGCCACTCTCACCTCAACCCGGTGCAGGAAACTTGCCAATGCACACTCCCTGAGAGCCTGTGCTCCTGGGTCCACACCAGCACGCACTTGTTGCTAGGCCCACCGTTGCTCGTTCTGTGCAGGCACAAAAGGAGTTCGTTCACTTGCTCAGCCACCCGAGCGAACTTATCATGCACCAGGTGTGTTCCAGGTGCTGGCTACAAAGCAATGCCCTGCCCTCTTGGGTGTCAACTTCCAAGACATATAGAAAAAGACTCTCTCAAAGAAAAACGTTATTGGGACCAGCGGTTGGCTTAACGGCTATGTTGCTGGACTTCCATGTAGTTGACCGCCTTTCGAATCCTGGACCTGGTGGCTTAAACTCACACCGGGCGTGTGTGCGTGCGTGCCAAAGATCCCAAGAAGAGAATGGAGGAGAAGGGATTGCGGCGTGGCCATCCTCCCTGGGGGGTGACTTCTCGCTTTCTGTCTCTCTCTCTCTGTCTTTCTGGCGAGCGCACGTGCCCTATAGCAAAAACCTCCAAAAAAAGAAAGAAAAATGTTATTTATTTGGAAACAGGCATTGCAATGCTGGATACACCTTCCCCAGTAAGCTACTGCCATATTTGGGGAGGTAAGGGAGGAAAAGGAGGCAGGATTACAGTCATCCTTGGCTACCAAGAGTGATAACAATGTCCAAGGTGGGCATCAGTCCTAGGCTGCCCTCACAGAAGTAGTCCTTGCATGTCAGGTTGCAGTGGTCTTTGTGCAAGGCAGTGGTTCGGGCGGAGTCCTCGTGACAGTTCTTGCTGTCAGGCGTGTGTGTATGTGAGAATCACCTCCCTCCATGGCCTTCCTCAGCTCGGTTTAGTCAGGTTTAACACAAGTTGACACACAGGACTCCACTTTGATTCTGACACTTTCACCAGGGCTTATAGCTGATTCTTTTTTTCTTTTTTGAGAGGTTTTTACTATAGGGTGTGGCTCTCACCAAAAAGAGAGATAGAGAGACAGCAAGTGAGGAATCACCTCCTAGGGAGAGATAGCCACACCGCAACCCCTTCTCCTCCATTCTCCTCTCGGGATCTTGGGCATGCACGCACATGTGCCCAGCGTGAGTTTAAGCTACTGGGTCCGGGACTTGAACCGTGGTTGACTACATGGGAGTCCAGTGACATAGCCGTTATGCCAACTGCTGGTCCCACATCCAGTATGTTTTTCAAGCTGCTAGGGCTGGGCTTTGAACCATGGTTGGTCATGTGGATCCGGCTCTCCTAACCACTAGGCTATGGAGCTAGCTTCTCCCTGGGTTTCTGAAGCACATCTATTTAAGCACACAGTTATCAAGAATGAAAACCTCGGGAACCAGCAGTTAGCGTAATGGCTATGTCGCTGGACTCCCACGTAGTCGACCGCGGTTCGTGTCCCGGACCCGGTGGCTTAAAACTCACGCCGGGCGCGTGTGCGTGCGTGCCCAAGATCCTGAGAGGAGAATGGAGGAGAAGGGATTGCGGTGTGACCATCCCCCCTGGGGGGTGATTTCTCGCTTTCTGTCTCTATGTCTCTCTCTGTCTGTCTGGCGAGCGCACGCGCCCTACAGTGAAAATCTCTCCAAAAAAAAAAAAAAAGCATGAAAACCTCTTTCCAGGCCTTTTGTAGTAACACTGAGCAGTTCCTCTCATTCTTGGCTTTAACAGGAATATCTTCAGTGTTTATATCCTGTTATCACATGTTACATCAAAAGCTCATTTCTGAGTTTCTTTAATTTTCTCTTTACTAAGTCATTTTAAAAATTAAGAATGGGGACCAGCAGGTGGCGTGGTGGTTAAGGCACTGAACTCCCACATGGTCAGCTGTGGTGTGAGTCTGGACCTGGTGGCTTGCATTCTTGCTTTCTCTCTCTCTTTCTGGTGAGTGCATATGCCCTATAACAAATTAAAAATAAATAAATTAAACTAAATAAATAATTAAAAAATAGAATGTTTTCTTCTATCAAATATTCTTTCAGCAACTGTCAAGGATATTGAATAACTTTTCTCCTTTGACTTAGTAGTATATGAATTAAAGTAACAGATCTCCTCATGAGCTGTCCTCACATAGACTATTCTGGCAGCTCTATCGTTGTATCTGGCTGTCAGCGGCTAGCTCTCGCCCACATGGCCGTCCGTAGGTCGTGAAAGGGAAGCAGGTATGTGAGCTTGTTGGGTAACCTCTGTCTTCCTTCCACTTGAGCGACTGTGTAGGAGCTTTGCGGGCCGTGCCCTACCTCTGGCAGGGACAGCTTCCTTTGTTCCAGTGTATGGGTCTGTATCGCCGTCACTTCCCTGACAGATTTCAGGAGCTGAGTGCCCGAGGGATTGGTTTCTTGAAGGCCAGACCCTGGAAGTGCTTGGGAGCGTCAATGGTGTACTCTCTCCTCACCACCGAGTTAGGGGCAGAGGGGCCCCTCTTGCCACTCTTTGCTGTAGGAGCCAGTCTGGTGGTTCCAAAGGAAGAAGAGCATACATGCCCATATACACCATGCCATATACACACATGCCCACACACATACATGCCCATATACACACATGCCCAGATACACACATTCCCATATACACCATGCCCACATACACACATGCCAATGTACATGCATGCCCACATACACACATGCTCATATATACCCATACCATATACACACATGCCCACACACATGCATGTCCATATACATGCATGCCCATATACACACATGCCCCCCACACCCATATACACACATGCCCATACACATAGATGCTCATATACACATATGCCCACATACACCCATGCTCACATACACACATGCCCACATATACCCATGCCCATATAAACACATGCCCATATACACAATTGCCCATATACACACATGCCCATATAAATGGATGCCCATATACACAGATGCCCATATAAACACATGCCCATATAAACAGATGCCCATATATGCACATGCCCATATACACACATGCTCACATACATGGATGCCTACATACACACATGCCCATATACACACATGCCCACATATACCCATGCCCATATACACACATGCCCATATACACGGATGCCCATATACACAGATGCCCATATAAACACATGCCCATATAAACAGATGCCCATATATGCACATGCCCATATACACACATGCTCACATACATGGATGCCTACATACACACATGCCCATATACACACATGCCCACATATACCCATGCCCATATACACACATGCCCATATACACGGATGCCCATATACACAGATGCCCATATACACACATGCCCATATAAACAGATGCCCATATAGACACATGCCCATATACACAGTTGCCCATATACACACATGCCTATATACACGGATGCCCATATACACACATGCCCATATA